AGGACGGTACAGATATCCCCCAAATGTCAGGACGATACAGATATCCCCCAAATGTCAGGACGATACAGATATCCCCCAAATGTCAGGACGATACAGATATCCCCCAAATGTCAGAACAGTACAGATATCCCCCCAAATGTCAGGACAGTACAGATATCCCCCAAATGTCAGGACGGTACAGATATCCCCCAAATGTCAGGACAGTACAGATATCCCTTAAATGTCAGAACGGGACAGATATCCCCCAAATGTCAGGACGGTACAGATATCCCCCAAATGTCAGGACGGTACAGATATCCCCCAAATGTCAGGACGGTACAGATATCCCCCAAATGTCAGGACAGGACAGATATCCCCCCAAATGTCAGGACGGTACAGATATCCCCCAAATGTTAGGATGGTACAGATATCCCCCAAATGTCAGGACGGTACAGATATCCCCCAAATGTCAGGACGGTACAGATATCCCCCAAATGTCAGGACAGTACAGATATCCCCCAAATGTCAGGACAGGACAGATATCCCCCCAAATGTCAGGACGGTACAGATATCCCCCAAATGTTAGGATGGTACAGATATCCCCCAAATGTCAGGACAGTACAGATATCCCCCAAATGTTAGGACGGTACAGATATCCCCCAAATGTTAGGATGGTACAGATATCCCCCAAATGTCAGGACAGGACAGATATCCCCCAAATGTTAGGATGGTACAGATATCCCCCAAATGTCAGGACAGGACAGATATCCCTCAAATGTCAGGATGGTACAGATATCCCCCAAATGTCAGGACAGTATAGATATCCCTCAAATGTCAGGATGGTACAGATATCCCCCAAATGTCAGGACAGGACAGATATCCCTCAAATGTCAGGATGGTACAGATATCCCCCAAATGTCAGGACAGTATAGATATCCCTCAAATGTCAGGACGGTACAGATATCCCCCAAATGTTAGGACAGTACAGATATCCCTTAAATGTCAGGACGGTACAGATATCCCCCAAATGTCAGGACAGTACAGATATCCCCCAAATGTCAGGAGACATTAAAATTTTTAATTAGTTTTAATTTTTTTTTCATATTTCAGTATGACCAAAGCAGTATAATGTTACCATAGTAACATTGTACTACTTTGGGGAAGTGATCGGTATTTTTCTTTTTTTTTTTTACACAATTTGCTTATAGCAAAGAATTACTTTTACCTGAATGACATCGATTCATTCAGGTTTTTTTTTTTTTGTGCTTAGCTGTGATTTGGTCACTGCTAATCACATGACACACCTGGGTGGGCTGTGATTGGCCCAGCTTGTGCATGTGATCGCTGTGACCATTTACAGCTAGACACACTTGTATACAATAGATGGCATGAAAGAAGTGATTGGTCACAGCAGGTCACATGGTACTGGAAACGGGGCCGGTACACAGATCTGTCATCGGCTGTGTCCGAGGTACACGGGCAATGACAGATCGCGCCACAGAGCGGCACTGCGCATGCCTGAAAGGACACCGTATGGCGTCCACCCGGAGGGACGAGCTGCTATTGGCCGGGAACCGGTTAAATAAACCAAAACCTCCCGCGGTGTCGCGCTCCACTATCAATATAATGAATTAACATAAATTAAATGAATGAATAAAATATATTACAAACAAATACTATCAAGTGACTGAGTCCTAGTAAATTTCCACGGCGTGGTATTGAAATCACACTAGTGCTGCCTGCATATCTTCACCAAAAATCCTCAAACAATCCGTGATCTATGGTGTCTTCTGTGGTATATTGCCAAAATAAATATAGTCCACCAAATGTATATATACTGCGCTCCTCCGCCAGACATGTATGACCAAACCGTTCTGAGGTCATACAAGCTTCTGTCCCTTTAGTTGGTCTCAGGTGGACAGATGGATAAATCCCAGATGGATGGATGGATGGATGGAAATTTTCCAGCAGGGGGTCTCGCCGTTATCAAGAGATCCTTTTCCTGGAGGTGGATGGATGGTCCAGGAGGTCTCTTGACTCCTTTCAGACTTTTTCCTCCATGTACAGTATATATGTTCCATGTACTTAAAAAGAAAATATAGTGCCTTATCCTATGTTTAAAAGATTTATTAACCACTTCCAGTCTGGACACTCCATCCCCCTTCCAGTCCGGACACTCCATCCCCCTTCCAGTCCGGACACTCCATCCCCCTTCCAGTCCGGACACTTTCCCCCCCTTCCAGTCCGGACACTTTCCCCCCCTTCCAGTCCGGACACTTTCACCGCCTTCCAGTCCGGACACTTTCACCGCCTTCCAGTCCGGACACTTTCACCGCCTTCCAGTCCGGACACTTTCACCGCCTTCCAGTCCGGACACTTTCACCGCCTTCCAGTCCGGACACTTTCACCGCCTTCCAGTCCGGACACTTCCCCCCCCTTCCAGTCCGGACACTTTCACCCCCTTCCAGTCCGGACACTTTCACCCCTTCCATTCCGGACACTTTCACCGCCTTCCAGTCCGGACACTTTCCCCCCCTTCCAGTCCGGACACTTTCACCGCCTTCCAGTCCGGACACTTTCACCGCCTTCCAGTCCGGACACTTTCACCGCCTTCCAGTCCGGACACTTCCCCCCCTTCCAGTCCGGACACTTTCACCCCCTTCCAGTCCGGACACTTTCCCCCCCTTCCAGTCCGGACACTTTCCCCCCCTTCCAGTCCGGACACTTTCCCCCCCTTCCAGTCCGGACACTTTCACCCCCTTCCAGTCCAGACACTTTCACCCCCTTCCAGTCCGAACTCTTCCCCCCCCTTCCAGTCCGGACACTTTCACCCCCCTTCCAGTCCGGACACTTTCACCCCCGTTCCAGTCCGGACACTTCCCCCCCCCTTCCAGTCCGGACACTTCCCCCACCCCCTTCCAGTCCGGACACTTTCACCCCCTTCCAGTCCAGACACTTTCACCCCCTTCCAGTCCTGACACTTTCACCCCCTTCCAGTCCTGACACTTTCACCCCCCTTCCAGTCCTGACACTTTCACCCCTTTCCAGTCCGGACACTTTCCCCCCCCTTCCAGTCCGGACACTTTCCCCCCCCTTCCAGTCCGGACACTTTCACCCCCTTCCAGTCCAGACACTTTCACCCCCTTCCAGTCCGAACTCTTCCCCCCCCTTCCAATCCGGACACTTTCCCCACCTTCCAGTCCGGACACTTTGCCCCCCTTCCAGTCCGGACACTTTCCCCCCCTTCCAGCCCGGACACTTTCCAGCTTTCAGCGCTATCACACTTTGAATGACAATTGCGCGGTCATGCAACACTGTACCCAGATGAATTTTTGCTATATAAATGAAAGTGTTTTTCTTATAAAATTTTGCAAATAAATAATATTTCATCATAAATTTTTGCCAAAATTTATTCAGTTATCTTTTTAGTAAAAAAAAAAAACAAAAACCCAAATTAGTTTATAACTGTGACGGGAGTGACTTTTGGGGGTGGGGGGACCTCTGTATCATCTCCCCAAATTCCCATTATGTTTAAGGCACCCTGTGCCTGTTAAGGGGTACAGGGTGTGTATGTGAATGTCTGTGTCTTGTGTATAGTGTGTGTTCCTTTGTCTAGGCCACATGGCTGTCCATTGTCTGTTTGCCATGTGCTCCCCCCCATTGTGCTGTGTCTTCCTGTCCAGCCAACTATTATGGGATGCATGTGTCCCTGTATTGTCCCTGCCATGTGGTTGCCTATTGTTCTATGCCATGTGCTTCATCCCATTGTTCTGTGTCTTGGTTGGATGGGGCGGGCTGATGATGTATTTCCTGTTCCTGGTTGTGTTTCCCCGCCCTCTGTATATATCCTGTGTTAAAATAAATGGAGTTGGCTTCCTGTATTAAGAAGAGCTGGGTGCTGTCTATTTCCTGAGGGATTTCAGGGTGTGGTCCGTGGATGGTGTTCAGACAGGGGAAGCTGCGGTATAACGGAATATACCCAAGTGCGGTCGGGGGTACCGGTTCCATTACAATAACCAAAAATTATAATTAAAAAAAAAATGTTTTACATTTTTGTTTTTATTTTTTATATTATTTTTAAAAACATATTTATGTTTTTTTTACATACTTTCACCCTAGCAGTAGTGTCACCATGGTGACACTGTACTACTTGTGGGGGGTGATGAAGTTTTTTTTTTTACACTGATTGATTTTACACCCATAAAGGCTGTAAGGGGAATCATTTCTCCTCTCTGGCTGCATTCCTGCAGCCATTGGGAAATACTGAGTGAGCTGTGATTGGTTACAGCTTGTCACATGGTACAAGGCTGTTGTGAATAGCCCTGTACCATGTGATCTCTGTGATCATTCACAGATTTTTCACGTAGTAAGCAATGCGGTTTCCTGTCTCCATTATAGAGGCAGAATTTGTTTCTCCTCATGTCGCGGCCCTGAAGTACGACGTACCGACCTCGCATCGGCTCACCGCCGGGAAGTGACCCTTCCAGGGAGAAGTTAAGTCTTTCAGTTTATTGTCTCAGCAGAGAAATGTGACGCCGTGAAATGACTTTGCCCTTTTAGGTATGGCGGTCTCACACTCTCTGGATTGCGCTCTTCTGGGAGGCCGCGCCGGGCGAGGTGATAGAAATCACGCGGCTGTGAACCTCGCCGCCATCTGGAGGCGTCGCCCGCTGCGCAAATCAGAGAAAGATGATGGAGGAGATAAATCCTTCAGTACAGCCGGATCAACCTGTCCTGAAGCACCATGAATCCCTCCCATCGTCTGCCTCCACCAATCACGTTCAGGGACAGTAAGGAGGGTTTTTAAAAAAAACTGCTTCATCAGGGTGAATGGAAGAAGGATCCCAATTATATCCTCCCTCCGGCTCCTCCCCTCCAGTCTTGCACAGGTGTACCGGCTCCTCCCCTCCAGTCTTGCACAGGTGTATCGGCTCCTCCCCTTCAGTCTTGCACAAGTGTACCGGCTCTTCCCCTTCAGTCTTGCACAGGTGTACCGGCTCCTCCCCTTCAGCCTTGCACAGGTGTACCGGCTCCTCCCCTTCAGTCTTGCACAGGTGTACCGGCTCCTCCCCTCCAGTCTTGCACAGGTGTACCGGCTCCTCCCCTTCAGCCTTGCACAGGTGTACCAGCTCCTCCCCTTCAGTCTTGCGCAGGTGTACCTGCTCCTCCCCTTCAGTCTTGCACAGGTGTACCAGCTCCTCCCCTTCAGTCTTGCACAGGTGTACCGGCTCCTCCCCTGGACTGAAGCGGCTTCCTCTGATGTCACTGCACACTGGGAGCTTCTCACAATGTGCATTAGAAGCTGCAGCCAGTCAGATAGAGCTCCGCCTCCTTTCCTGGCTGGAGGACGTCCAGCATCATCTTGCACTTTCCTCCCCAGCCTGACTGTCCCTGGCCCCACCCCTTCCCTTCAATGGATTTCAGTTCTTTCAATCATGGAGACTCAGCATCACATGTGGGTGTTACCTATGCAAATACAGTCTGCCTAGGAACGCCCACTCCTCCAGACTGACACCCGCCCATCAAGGCACTTTAACTACCTCCCTCCCGCCATATAGTAATCGGCGGTTCTCTCGTTCTGGGAGGAGTCATATGACGTCCTCACATTCTCACTGCGCATGCGTGGCTCAGGAAGCGCGCAGATCGGTGGTGTATGTCCCTCGGACACCGTGGATCACCGATCACGGAAAGAGCCAAAGATGTCGGCTCGGTCATGTGATCAGCCGTGTCCAATCACAGCTGATCACATGTAAACAGAGAAATGCCGGTTATCGGCATTTCTCTCCTCACGAGCTGTCACGCTGACAGAGGAGAGGAGAGCCGATAATCGGCATTCCTCAGATGGGACATGATGATCAGTGTAGCCTCAGCAGTGCCACCTGTCAGTGCCAATCTAAGCTGCCTTTCAGTGCCACCTATCAATGCCACCTATCGGTGCCAATCAGTGCTGCCTATCAGTGCCGCCTATCAGTGCCAATCAGTGCTGCCTATCAGTGCCGCCTATCAGTGATATATATAAGTGCCATATATCAGTGCCATATATCAGTGCCTATCAGTGCCAATCAGTGCTGCCAATCAGTGCTGCCTATCAGTGCCAATCAGTGCTGCCTATCAGTGCCATATATGAGTGCTGCCTTTCAGTGCCTATCAGTGCCACCTACCAGTGCCTCTTCATCAGTGCCACCTATCAGTGTCCATCAGTGCCACCTATCAGTGGCCATCACTGCAGCCTCATCAGCGCACATCAGTAAAGGAGAAAAATCACTTATTTACAAAATTTTATAACAAAAACTAAGAAAAAACATTTTTTTTTCAAAATTTTCAGTGGTTTTTGGTTTGTTTAAGAAAAAATAAAAAAACTTGAGGTGATTAAATATCACCAAAATAAAGCTCTATCTGTCACAAAAAAATGATAAAAAATTCATACGGGTACAGTGTTGCATGACCGCGCAATTGTCATTCAAAGTGCAACAACGCTGAAAGCTGGAAATTGGCCTGGACAGGAAGGGGGTAGATGTGCCCGGTAGGCGAGGGGTTAATATTTGCATAACTCCTCCCAAGAGGCCGCCCACTGCTTACAACAAGTCTGAGGGCCCTTGAGAGGAGTACTGAGGCAGGGCCCCGTGATATTTTCGGGAAGCTATATACAGTACATCACCCGTCCTGCCCCTCCCACCAGCCACTGTATGCATTGCATAGAGAAGCACAGAGACTCCGGTATGACATCACTGGGTTTAAAATAAAGGTACGTAATGGCCTTGGAGTAGAAATAATTGTGAAATAATAATAATATGAAAATATATTTTAAAAATTAAAAAAGAAAATAACTTGCCACGCTGGATTTTCCAGGAAATATGACGGCGTGCCTTGAAGCAGACATTTCAAACTGAAAAAAAAAAAAAAGAAATAATAATGGTATTATAATTTAAAAAAAATGTGAAAAAAAAGACACTAGAACGCCATGGATGGTTTCCTGGAATATTGCACAGACCTTGAAGTGGATATCATTGTAAATTTAAAATATATATAAAAAAAAAAAACTGAAAATGTAACAATAATATCAATATAATTAAAAATATATATAAAAAAAATAAAATAACTTATCTTGCTGGATTTCCAGGAAATATTGCAGCGACTAAGTGAAAAAAATATAGAAAATGATAATACTAATAATAGTATAATTAAAAAATATTAGAAATGTATTTAAAGAAAAAAAAAGGAAGTAGCAAGCTATTCATGATTTCTAGGAAATGCTACGGGGGCCTTGAAATGGATAAAATTGTGATATGAAATTGTAAAAAGATAACAACAATAATATGAATTAAAAATATATTACCGAATAAAATAAATTGCCTTGCAAGATTTCCAGGAAATGTCTCGGGGGGCCTTGAAGTGGCCATCACTGTGACTGTAAATTATTAAAAAAAAAAAAAATCAAATAAAAAAAAAAAAATAATATAATAATTAAACATATATTAAAAAAAAAAAAAATAACTTGCCCCGCTGGATTTCTAGCAATTATTGCAGGGACCTTGAAGTGGAACATCATTTCAAACTGAAAAAAAAATAAAGTAAATTGCAAGTAAATAATAATATATTTCAGAAAAAAATTAAAAATATATTTTAAAAAATTAAAAAGGAAAAATTGCAGGGGCCTTGAAAGATAGCATAGAATTGTAATATGTAAAATACTGTATATAAGAAAACAACACACAAAAAATTTATATATATATAAATATATATATATAATATATATATATATATATATATATATACACATGACAATAAATAACATTAAAAAAATAATAAATAAAAAAAAATTTTATATATATATATATAATATCAATAATAACATTAAAATATATTAACAAATACAATAATTTGCCTTTTAATATTGATGAGACCTTGAAGTGGACATCATTTTTCAAACTGAAAAAATAAAGAAAATTGAAAATAATAATAATAAATAAATTATTTTTTTTTTTTTAAATATAAATTCAAAAAGAAAAAAAAAGGAAAAGGTAATATTGCAGGGGCCTTAAAATGGATATAATTTTGATATGAAAATACTGTATATAACAAAAATAAAAATAAATTATATATATATATATATGGCAATAATAACATTAAGATATTTTAACAAATAAAACAAAATTGCCTTTTAACATTGAAGGGACCTTGAAGTGGACATCATTTCAAACTGAAAAAATAAAAAAAATTGAAAATAATAATAATAAATTTTTTTTTTTTTTTTTAAATATATTTAAAAAGAAAAAAAAAAAAAAAGGTAATATTGCAGGGGCCTTGAAATGGATATAATTTTGATATGAAAATACTGTATATATAACAAAAAATAAATACATTATATATATATGGCAATAATAACATTATTTTATTTTAGCAAATAAAATAACTTGCCTTTTCATATTGATGGGACCTTGAAGTGGACATCGTTTCAAACTGAAAAAAAAAACAAAATTGAAAATAATAATAATAAATATTTCAAAAAAAAAAATTAAAAAAAATAGAAAAAAGGAAAATGAAATATTGCAGGGGCCTTGAAATGGATATAATTTCGATATGAAAATACTGTATATAACAAAAAAAATAAATTATATATATATATATATGGCAATAATAACATTAAGATATTTTAACAAATAAAACAACTTGCCTTTTAACATTGAAGGGACCTTGAAGTGGACATCATTTCAAACTGAAAAAATAAACAAAATTGAAAATAATAATAATAAAAATTTTTTTTTTTTAAAATATATTTAAAAAGAAAAAAAAAATAAAAGGTAATATTGCAGGGGCCTTGAAATGGATATAATTTTGATATGAAAATACTGTATATAAAAAAAATAAATACATTATATATATATATATATGGCAATAATAAAATTATTTTATTTTAGCAAATAAAATAAAAAAAAAATTCATATTGATGGGACCTTGAAGTGGACATCGTTTCAAACTGAAAAAATAAAAAAAAAATTGAAAATAATAATAATATATTTCAAAAATGTAAAAAAAAAAATAGAAAAAAGGAAAAGGAAATATTGCAGGGGCCTTGAAATGGATATAATTGTGATATGAAAATACTGTATATAACAAAAAATAAAAATACATTTTATATATATATATATATGGCAATAAAATAACATTATTTTATTTTAGCAAATAAAATAACTTGCCTTTTCATATTGATGAAAATTTTGAAAAAAACATCATTTCAAACTGAAAAAAATAAACAAAATTGAAAATAATAATAATATATTTCAAAAGTGTATTAAAAAAAAATATTGTAAAAAAGGAAATTTAAATATTGCAGGGGCCTTGGAATGGATATAATTTCGATATGAAAATACTGTATATAACAAAAAAAAAATAAAAATATTATATATATATATATATATAAAAATAACATTAAGATATTTTAACAAATAAAACAACTTGCCTTTTAACAAATTGAAGGGACCTTGAAGTGGACATCATTTCAAACTGAAAAAATAAACAAAATTGGAAATGATAATAATAGATTTCATAAATATATAAAAAATAGGAAAAAAAAAAAATGAAATATTGCAGGGATGAAATGGATATAATTGTGATATGAACATACTGTATATATCAAGAAATAAAAAATAAATAAATAAAAAATAAATAATATATATATATATATAGCAATAATAAAATTAAAATATATTAACAAATAAAATAAAATGATTATATGTATATAATTAAAAACATATTAAGAATAATATTTTTTAGCAAATAAAATAACTTGCCTTTTAATATATATATATATGTAGGCAATAACATTAAAATATATTAAAAATAATAAAATAATAATACTATATTTAACAGAAAAAAAAAATATTGCAGGGGCCTTGAAATGGATATAATTGTGATATAAAAATACTGTATATAGCAAAAAATAAATTTTATATATATAGGCAATAATTGAAAATATAAAAAAAACACATATATATATATAATTAAAACAATTAAAAATTAAAATAACTTCTGGATTTCCAGGACATATTGCAGGGCTATACAGTGAATATCATTTCAAT